CCAGCCACGCGCCAGGAGCGCCCGCGGCAAGCAGCCCTACCAACCAAGGCAGCACCTTGGCGCACCTCCGCCCGAGCCGGGCTCGAGGGAGTCGTCGGCGGCGACCGTGGCGCCCGCGAGCCGGCAGCAGAACCCCTCACATGGGGGGCTGAGCTGCCAGCCCGGCGCGGCAGCGCGGCGCGACGGGGAGAAGAGGCGGGCGAGGAGGTAGGGACTGCGAGGAGGGGGAACGGGGCGTCGTCGGCGCAGTCGATCCAGCGGAACAGAGGCGCGGGGGGAGCGGCAGCAGGAGCGTCCGGCGAGGCGGGAGGCGTCGCAGCCGCCTGAGCGAGGCCCTCGCCGGAGGGGGCGGCTGGGGCGGGGGCGGAGGACGCCACCGGCGTCGGGAGCGCGCCGACGCAGGCGCCAGGATCGCCAGAGCGAGGGGCATCCATCGCGGCTGTCTTCTCACCTGGCTCCATATGTATAGTTATAACATTCAGATATATATCCGTAGCAATATTATTCAGTTATGTATCTATATACCTATGTATCTGACAATATCAGTATAGCCATGTATCAGTATACCTATGATTCAGGACAGGTGAAGCATACAAGCGATCAGAAAAATACAGAAAACGAACATAATGTAAATACATGTGTTCCTCCTTGATGTAGGGCACGGCCGGCACGGCCTTGCGCCTCTCCTCGCTGCCCGCAACGCAATCACGCCCTGCCCTGGGGTTCTGCGATGGCGTCGTCGTCGTCGTCCCCCAACCAAAGTTTAAATCTTAATACATGGAAGCCTTGCTTGGTTCATATAGAATAACTTTGATAGATTTAAACTTGATCACACATGGACGACAGTGATTCCTTTTCCTGTAACAAGAAGGATGCCTCTGCATTACCTGCTTTATAGGTAGATCACAAAAGGAAAGAAGCAAGGTTTATCCTGGAGCTTCTGTAATTCAGTTACTCCTTTTGTTGTGCCTAATTGTTTAATATGCCATCCTCATAATATCTTTTATTTTATTTATTTATTGGTGCAAAGAAGGTGTGTCAGTTTCAGATCTACACACTCTTCCACACACATCGACCAAGAGAAATGTTGTCATGGAGGATAGATCGTAGAAAGAATACATGTTTATTTCAGCATTATTCATGTACTAGCATAGTGCTTATGTTTAAAGATTCAGACTCTGCATTCGAACATAAGGGAGATGATCTAATTCAATTTTTATTGAAAGGAACGAGCAGCAGATACCGTGTTGTGCTGCAGATCTTCTCTCCATGTTCAATAATCAGTCTGATACGTAGCGATCCGTTTGGGAAATATTTATTTTGATGTTAATTTTTATCAGCTCATGCAGATCATTGAGGGATTAATTACGCCGTCATGCACGGATTTACAAAGGTGTCAGCGAAAGACATGTAAGCTCCTTTCTGAACTATTAATCACTAATGGTGCTCCCAACTCTAAATTATACTTTGGAGCTTACATGCTTACTTCTATCGGTTATGACATTTCAGTCAGGTTCCATCCTAATGTCTCCAAATGATATAATATTTGTTCAGAAAAAATAATATCATACATTTGTGGTGGTCTCCTTGGTACTCGGTGCATTGTATTTTTTTCTTTAGTAGCGCCTAGCCACCTGCAGATTAGATCTCAACATAGCAGAACCTTACGCCGTCCTGAATGTTACATCCCATACATTCGTAGTTAGTAGTATCATGTCTTGCATTTGGCTGCAGGTAATGCTGCTCCCAAAATTCTGAACTTTTGCTGAAGCACCACCAATGATGGAATTGGAGTCTGCTTTTCCCTACGGCTGCATGTCATGATTCACATTATAAATTAGCAATGAATGTATCACTGCGTTTAGTTGCTGTAATTAAAGCGCATAGCAAGTGGCTTTGCTAGATTGTGCCTGTAGCCTTGGGACAATTAGTACCAGATGGTGGTTCACAGTCCTTTTCACCCTTGCAATTTGTCTTTGCCTCTGGGGAGCAGAGATACGGTTTCTTTTCTTTGTTATACTGAGCAGAGATACAGTTGAAGCATAACACATACTCCCTCCGTTTCTAAATATAAGTCTTTGTAGAGATTCCAATACGGATGTATGTAGACATACTTTAGAGTGTAAATTCATTCATTTTGCTCGGTGTGTAGTCCATATTGGAATCTCTGAAAAGACTTATATTCAGGAACGGAGAGAGTATGATATTTTGATAACTTCGGTTTCATCTGACAGATGGAGAGGTTCGAGTAAGTAGGATCGCCGAGGGAAGCAGAATTCGTGGCATAGTCATATGGGATTGTAACTAGGCGCATCATGTGTCGTTTTCGCATGAGAGAAATCTGAGTTTAGGAGAACACTTTAATTGGTACTATGCTGCCACTGAGATCCTTGTATGTCACCACACCGTATTGCTGATCATTTACACTTTTAACAATGGCAGTTCAGAAGAAAACTCTGTTCTCTATGAAGCCAGCGAAAACAGAAATATAGACTATCGTGCCCTTTTCCAACATGTTGATGGTGTTACCTCTTTTATCCTGTTAAATATATGCATGCACCTCAACTCTTATGTGGATGTGTTATGGCCATGGAAGGCATTTTTTACTTTGAACTATTTTTTTAGATTCGCCATAAGTATCTAGCTTTTGTTTAGATAATACATTTTTTTGTGAAATTTGTTTAGACAATACCTATCCCTACAAGTCTACAACCTCTCAGCTCAATGTGTAGTTGTGGCTGCTACATTCTTTGGTGGTGGTGTTCCTGCTTGAAGACGAGTGATAACTCATTGCCTATTAAACCTCGAGAAGTCGAAATGTAATAGTTGTATGTTCGCGATACACCATGCGGGAGTCACACGCGAGGAAGAAAATGGCGCGGCAAGGCGTGCCTGCACTTCTCTTATCTCAATTCCTTTAGGGAAAGATTTGTCATTTGAGTAATATTTTTTCTTTGAAGTATGAAGGATTGGTTATCATTGTATGGAGAAATAAATCA